AGCGCAGGGACTCACTTCCGTGGCGCCAGAAATCATGTCATGTCTGTGCATGCGCAGACGCCGGAAATCATGGGCGCACACAAGCGATGCGGCCCATGGAGGGATCTCCGCAGGACCAATCCAGCTAGGCAAGATAAACCTTGCTGACCCCTGCCTTATGCCATAATACTCTCAAAAATGCCCCAAGCTGCTGCTGCTGCTTTTTCTTCACCCCACTACGATTCCTCCCATCTTTCAGGACTTCTTGCTTTTCAACAAACTAAGAAGGCTGTGCTTCTGACTTTCCCCCAAAAGGCAAGCTGAGTATTTTTTTGCCAGAAGGAAGAATGAGGAATGGCAAAAAATCCTCAGAAAATGCTTGGCTCTCAGTACGTTTCCGAGCACAATTCAAAGTGTTGGTGCTGACCTTTAAAGCCCTAAACGGCCTTGGTCCTGTATATCTGAAGGAGCGTCTCCACCCCCATCGTTCTGCCTGGACACTGAGGTCCAGCGCCGAGGGCCTTCTGGCGGTTACCTCATTGCGAGAAGCAAAGCTACAGGGAACCAGGCAGAGGGCCTTCTCGGTAGTGGCGCCCGCCCTGTGGAACGCGCTCCCAGCAGATGTCAAAGCAATAAACAACTACCTGACATTCAGAAGACATCTTAAGGCAGCCCTGTTCAGGGAAGTTTTTAATGTGTGATATTTTAGTGTATTTTTGGTTTCTATGGAAGCCGCCCAGAGTGGCTGGGGAAACGCAGCCAGATGGGTGGGGTACAAATAATATATTATTATTATTATTATTATTATTATTATTATTATTATTATTATCATCATCATCATCATCATCATCATCATCATCATCATCATCTGTGGCCATTTTTCTCAGCTTTCAGGGTTTAAGTTAGGAGGGGAACCAGTGACCTTTCAGGAGTTTTCTTAGGGGAGCAGACTTTTTTTGGGTGGGGGGCAGAACCTCAGATTTGTATTGGTTTTATTGATACACCCGTGCAGCCAGATGTTGCCAGACGCCAACCCCCATCAGACCCAGCCAGCATAGCCGATGGTCTGGGATGATGGAAGTTGTAGTCTGAAAACATCTGGATGACAACTGCTTCTCTATCCTTGGGTTAAAGCAAACTATTGACAACTTTCTCTCTCAAAAAACCCCCTACCTTTCCTGAGTTCCGTTTATCAGTGTTGTTAATATGGGTAGGACTTGCCTGTATTGTAGTTTTCACTAAAACAAAGGGAAGGGGGACAGAGATCCACCGTGATGGAGCCAAATTGTCTGGTGTGTTTTTTTCTGGCATGAGAAAAAGGCCCTTCTCACACACATCTGGGTACTTCTCTAAAACCAGCTTATCTTGTAGCTTTTGGCAGGACAAACAAAAAGCTGTGGAAGGAGAGAGATGGAGGAGTCAGTTGAGAACATTATGAACGAAGGCATTTAAAACAAAGTCAGAGACAGTGTTGGGTGCATTTATATATATAGCAGTGGTGTGAATGCATATGAGAGTGGCAGGCAGAATTACTTGGCCACATCCAACAACTGCAAGCAAAGAGCAAAATTTATTTCCAAGGTTAAGTGTAGCGCCTTAAGCTGTCATCACCAGCTTGCCCTGCCTCATGCTATTTGACTTTTGAGACGCTCCTATCAGCTGCAGTGTTAAGTGAGATGTAACCAGAGCTGTTGTGCAGATTTTTAAGGGTGAAATGAACACATCAACTTCCCATAGCGGTGGGAATGGAGCCACGGAGGCCTCTCAAACTCAAGAGGGGGGAAGGGAAACATTTGGCCCTCTTTCAGCATAACTATGACAAAACAATCACACCATCTATATTACATTTATTTCCCAGCATCTGGTTGTTTTCTTAAAAAGGAATAAAATCGGCTGAAATTTTAAAAAGCAGGATGAAATAATCTGATAAAAAGGAAAATTTTAGTTGAGAAACTTATGGCAAATGTTAAACCTTATTAAATCTTTATTTCTGGTACAGTGGTACCTCGGGTTACATATGCTTCAGGTTACAGACTCCGCTAACCCAGAAATATTACCTTGGGTTAAGAACTTTGCTTCAGGATGAGAACAGAAATTGTGCTCCAGCGGCGCGGCAGCAGCAGGAGGCCCCGTTAACTAAAGTGGTGCTTCAGGTTAAGAACAGTTTCAGGTTAAGTCCGGACATCCGGAAAGAATTAAGTACTTAACCTGAGGTACCACTGTACTTCAAACAGGTGAATATGGTTTGACAGAGTTGTAGCTAATAGTGAACTGTAAGACAGGGGTGGGGACGATTTTTCACATCAAGGGCCATAATGGGCCACAGGGGTCACTGTTTTCCCAACCGAGGCAAGACGTGGAGGCGGCAACCTTTTTGCATCTGTCCAACTGATGTGTGGGACGTTGGTGGTGCTGTGGGTTAAACCACAGAGCCTAGGACTTGCCGATCAGAAGGTTGGTGGTTCGAATCCCTGTGACAGGGTGAGCTCCCGTTGCTGGGTCCCTGCTCCTGCCAACCTAGCAGTTCGAAAGCACGTCAAAGTGCAAGTAGATAAATGGGTACCGCTCCTGCGGGAAGGTAAACGGCGTTTCCGTACGCAGCTCTGGTTTGCCAGAAGCGGCTTAGTCATGCTGGCCACATGACCCAGAAGCTGTACACCGGCTCCCTCGGCCAATAAAGTGAGATGAGCGCCGCAACCCGTCGGCTACGACTGGACCTAATGCCCAGGGGTCCCTTTACCTTTTTAACTGATGTGTAACCACCGATGGGCAGGTCCTTTTTGACTTGGAAGAGGGCAGAATGGGGGCAGAGCAGGCTAATGTGGGTTCTGCAGATGCACACTGGGGCCAGGAACAGAACCCCCGTGCAAAATGGTCACTGCCTCTATCGCCTTTCTTTTTGAACTATAGCAATTATCCATAAATCGGCAGCAAGACACATATTAGCACATGCAATGTATTATGCAAACCTATGTTATTTTTGCGGTTCATAAGTAACTACCCTACTGCCAGCAGAGGAAGGGTATGGACCTTTGGTTCCCTGTTTGAGAGAGACAGTCATTCTGACACATCAGTAAGTTTTGCAATTATTTCTGGTTCTGGAGGGGAGCATTAAAAAAAATGAGAGTAAGAACAAAAGCCGCAGCAGCAGCAGTATCCTGTAACAGAAGGAAGTTGTTACCTCTCTCCTTTAGTCTATCTCTTGAGGAAAAGCAAGCCAGTAACTGTGAAATATGGAGAGACAGTTGACCTTGAACCTCTGCTGCTCCAGGGTAGTGAGTGCATTGAAATAAAGCAGGGAAAGAAACAATGTCACCCCCTGCCCAATATAATTACCCTAACAAAAATCGTTATCTCCCAGAACAAGGGCAGGGTCTCTGAAGGGGGGGGGGTGTTTCCAAAGGAAACTCTGATCAAGCCAAACACACTTTTCCCACAGAGGGCCTGAGTTTATTTTACAGGGCCCTTGCCCACCCAGAAGAACAAACAAATCCAAACCAAAATCCCAGGGCTCTCTCTCGCCATCTTCCCCTCAAAGTCAACATGAAAAATATGGGGCCATCTTAAAACACAAACAAGATAGCATTTGTGCTCTTCAATACCCCTTTGCTTCATTGGCTAAGGATGCTTCAAGTGTCTGATCCCTCTGCAGTCAACCCAGCTTTATCGGGGGAAACAGAGTTCAACTGCACTTGATTCTCTCTCTCCAGAAACACAGTCTCTGCTGGGATTTGACAATGAAACTCTACATATCAGTTCTGGGCCTGCTACTTCATTTTTCCACGGGTGCTACTGAGGAATGCAAATGACACAGTGTTAAAACAGGGGGTTGAGTTTTGCTAGATATTTGGCAGCAAATTGCAGACATTGTCAAACATAATACAAAATAGCACAATTAGGTTAATGGTACTGATAAGTACCCAAGACAAATTTCTGCAAGGAAAATGATGTGCTTTGGATATTATAAAACAGAGCCACAGACTACAGTGCCAGTTACAGGATCATGAGACTGGGGTGCGGGTTACAAACCTCTAATAACGAACTGGAACAACTTGGTTTCAACAGCATTTTACTGCTACTAAAGCACATGCTAGACCTTCCTAGACATATGACTCCTGCATAATAGTACATTTGTGTGCATTTGTAACCTTCAGTAATATGCCTTTTCTGCTGCAGTCCAAGCATTTCTAGCCATCTCCAACTGTTCTTTTTGGAGAAAATAACTGCAAGCCAAGAGCAGCTGAGACTATTAGCATAACACATCCTCCTAATAGTTATTTTGTATTTGCCAGAGTACAGCAACATTGTTGTTTTTTTTAATCTGCAAGTTACCATCTCACCTTTTCAAACAGTTCTGGTCTTTTGAAAAAATACTATTTGGAAAGGTGTTTATCAGTAGTACAGTCCCTGGTCAACGAAAGGCTCCTTTTAATAGCACTTATTTCTACAGAATAGCTGCATGGATCGGCAAGAATGTTTTGTATTTGAGAAGATGCACATTTCTGCCTCTTCTGGTGGACTAAAGCAAGGACTGAGGAGAGGTTAAGAATAGTGAATCAGGTTGCATTATAGTAATGGATGTCTGAATATTTTTGCTAGGGCAAAGTAGCCCATTTATTGAAAGGAAAAACAAGAAGATTCTTTACTCCCAAATTCATTAGAATATGCCTGAAGTGTGTGCGTTTCAAAATAAAAATTCTGTGCGACATCAATGGCACTTGGGCCCAGGAATTTCTGTGAAGAGCTCCATGCACGTGACGCTGCCTCTACCACTGAAGTGAACAGAGAAGCCTTGAAACACAGGAACTTCAGATGGAAGTGGGAGGAGATGAGAACATCAATGGGCACGAGGTATCACGCTGAAGGCCACACAACACCTTTCCTTAACATTCTGAAAAACAGGGTAGCCTTGACTAAAGAATAATATACCATTACTCAATAGCTCTATGACATTAAAAAACATTAAAAAATAACAAATAAAAATGACCATATTTGATAGGCAAGGAGGCAAAAAGCACTAGTTCACTATTTGGGTAGATTTTTATTAAGCCCTGCTAGAGAATAAATAATGGACTATACTACTTGAATAACAGATGTTTTCATGCATGTAACACATACAATAGTGCTGGCTTATGTTTTTTGTTAGGACATGTTGAGAAGAGGTATTTGGCAATAATAACATGAACAGCTTCAAAAATTGCAGCACAAATTCTCTCTGCTGTTAAGGCTTTTTATATTTCCTTTATACAATATCAAATATTATTATTATTATTATTCTATTCTTCTTAAATCTTGCTTTGACTTTCAGTGTGCCAAATATGTAAATTCTGGGAACAATACAACTGCCAATAAATAGCATTAATCATTTATAATTAGCCATTTTAAAAACAAAAAATACCCCACATCATTTTTTTTGCTGTTTGTGCAAAGCCATGTAGATGAGTTTTAAGATTTCTAGAAGAGAGCAGCAGAAATTTAACTCATCTAAACATATTCAGTGCAAATGCCAATCTAGTCCCAAAGTTGTGATACTGCAGTGTATGCCAAAACCCACCCAACAGCTGCCTTGAATAAGCCCTGAGAACTGGGTAAAAGCTACCATGCTCTTGCACAGCTCTCATCCATCCTTTTTAGTGGGGTACATGTATGGGAATTTCCTGATGGGTTGTGCCCTAAGGCAGAATGATCCAAATAAAACATATGGCCAAACAAATGTGTAAACGGGTGAATACTATGATGATGTTTAAGACCAATTTCATCTAATATGCAGATACTGCACTACTAGACCATTTTCCAGGTTATTTTTGGGCTGAACAAGGAGGCTCTGGGTGAGAACTCACAATAACTGTACTACAACGGCCAAAGAGGAACTAGTTGGTATAATACAAATCAATCCAATTGTTAAAAAAATTAAATAGTCTAATCAACACTGAAAAGTGTTTATTTACAGTTTCTCGGTGACACCAGTGTATAGCCACGCAATCAAAAGTATAGTTTGCTTGTGTTTTTTTTTAAATAAAGGCAGCTGCCTACCGAACCCTCATTCAAAATGTTGGATATTTATAAGTACATGGTCTTTTCTTAGCATCAATTTAACGAAGGGGATCGATCTGTGGTCCAGAGTAATTCTATGTATGGCCATTTAGTCTGCAAACAGCGCTTGACTGGAGTATCATCAGTTTGTAGCATTGGGTCTTCAAAGCCCATAATCACTGCTGTGCCTTCGACATACATGACCTGTGAAAATGTAATTATCTTATTTAATCTCCTGTTCCAAAGAAATACCATGTTATTTTAAAGACCAAAAACCAAGCCATTCTATTTTTAAAAGATCACTTCGAGAGCAAAGGTTCAAATCAATTTAAATCTTCTGCACCTTATTAACAAGATGAAATGAAACACTCATAGAACTCTTACGTTCACTATTAACCAGAAGCATACATGAAGAAAGGATATAAGAGGGACTCTAGAACCAGCTTGGTCTTTAGTTTGTTAGTCTCTTATGGGGTGACGGCCTTGAGGACAGGCTGTAGGGAAGGAAGAGACACCTAAACTCTTAGCCCTTGTGTCTGACTGAGCTTGCTCTGCTGCCAACATGCAGAGGCAGCATGTGGAATTCTCCACCTCCATTAATTTTGGAACAAGCAGGTGGGGAGTCTTTTAAAAAAACCCAACACAGTTGTGCACATCTCAGGGATCCACCTAAATCTGCAGAAATCTCCCTGGGCCTGTTTTTTCACTCACTGCGCCTACACAGGGAACACTACATAGTTTACAATATAAGATGGGATGGGAACCATATCTCTAGGCACCTAAACTGAAATGGGTGAGAAAACCCTACAGCGATGGACACAAAACAGATTATTCCATAAAATAAAAGCTAGTTCCGTAATAATTTATGTTTTAAATAAAGCAAAGCTGGAAAATTGTTTTAGTGATTAGTGCAACAACTGCCTAGTACCCTCCCCCAACTCTTTTCTTGACATTTTGAAGCACAGTTATTAAAAATTTCATAATTCTAAATTCGCTTCTTATTTGGCGGAGAGAACTGGTGACAAAACACTGACATTTCCAAATGCCTCCATAATCATTTGCATTTCCGTAGTTTTCTATTTGTTCTTTTTCTTCTTCTAAGAACATGTGTCACCAGCCAAATGGTAAGTGGTGGTTTTATCACACTGTGGACTGTCCACTTAGAAATAGGCTGAACCCAACTTATTTCCATGGGATATCTGCTATAACAGGCAGCTGCCTAATTAGGTGTATGAGAAGTCACTGCTGGCATACCTTTTCATTGTAATTAGATTGCTTCAATCCATTGTAGTGGTATACAGTGAATGATTCTTGAACCTTGGACTCCTAAGAGAACAAACAAGACAGTTACTTTCAAGTCATAGGTTAATATCATTGAAGGTATTTGTTCCCTTTCTCCACTTTGAATGAAACAAGAAACTATAGTTAATGGGAGAGTTCCTGGTTTCTTTGCTGACTTATGAAAGGAGGACTGAAGCAGCTGCATGAAGAGGCTGCATGTGTGGATATATAGATCATTCCTAGCTTGACTTATTAAGCCAAGATACGATCATCCAAATGCAGCCACAATGTATATTAACTACAGAATGGTGAATGCATCACTGACCCACATTTGTTTAAAAATGCCCTAATGCAAGAATAGAAAGAAGGGATTACATTACCTGCTCAGGGAAAAATTCTTGAAGAAAGGGACCTAGTAATATGATTCCTAGTCCTTCTGGATCTAATTTCGTTTTCATGAGATTTACACTAAGATAAGATGAACAACACAAAAATATCAGTGTGGTGCATTCAGATTCTTGCATGACTAAGCTCTATGGTTCTACAACACTTTTAAATGCCAAAAACAATCAGGCTGTTGTATTTAGAATCCTAATAGCAATTGCAAAAGAATGGCATCTGGTTGCCAAATAAAAGAGTTATTTTTAAACCAAAGTAATCTTATTTAAAATCAATGTAGCAACAACAATTCACACACTACGCCTTATTAGGTAAAGCTTTCAGAAAAAGTACACTGTCTTAATTCCTTGGATTTTGCAGCAGAAGAGAGTGAAGATAAGCCTTGAGCATTAACGCACACATCGTCTTTCTAACTGACCTGAGAAGACCCACCCTTGTTTTATCTATTTGACAGGCCACAATGAACAGAATTCAGCCTGTAGAGATGGGGGATTTGTAGCCCTCTAGATGTTGCTAGACTACAGCTCCTATCATCACTAACAACTGACCATTAAGGCTGAGGCCAATGAGAGTTCAACAGCACAGAGGGCTGCAGGTTCCCCATCCCTGCACTAAAATAGACTGAGGAAAGAATGCTGCATTTACATAGTATATTTTACATTCATCTTTGATACAATGTTACATTCATGCTGAGAAGGAAACAACCTAGCATTTCTCCATTCATGTGAATGAAAATCTCTCTCTCTAAAACTAGTCTTGAATTTGTATGTAAGCACCTTGCTCCTTACACTTACAGCTGATACATATTGAATTAGTTGTGTACGCTGTAGCAAAAAACAACAACCATTTAGGTGGAATTTTATCCTGGCAATGGTTTTCTAAACAGTGTTCTAAAACAGCTGCCAATTTGTGCTTACTATTCAGGATCTGATACAAGGTCCAAAGCCTTCATTACATCTTCTAGAAGACTGTCTGGTATAAAACCATTATCTGAAAAAATAAGGAAATGTCATTAGCATGAACTAGCAGGTGTCCAAGAATTAAAAATATTTATATGGGCTGATTAATACTGCCTATTCTGAAATGGGAAGTGATGTGCATTTCTCTAAATAAAGATATGAAAAAGCAGACTTTGAAAATGCAATTTCTTGGAAATAACTACTTCTCTAATGATTTTCAGGGCATTGTAACTTGCAGTTGCAATTTTAACCAAGCATAGCAATGCATTTACTTTTTGAATGAGAGAACTGCATTCCTGCAAGAGAGCATATCAAACAATGCAAAGTTTCATTTAATGAGCCAAGGCCAAACACCATAAAAAACGAGAAAGCGTGAATATAACTATCTATTTGATACTAAATTCGTGCAATTTATATTCTCTGTGGAGTAAAAGGGATAACTGATAGTATCTGAATGCTTTTGAAAACATATTGTGAACTTGTCAGAGAGTGCTTTTTTCTATCATCATGTCACAATGCATACTCTTCTATTGGTCACTAAGAGCAAGACTTTCTCTATTTTATGCCTACTTTAAATCATCTGATTGTCCTAATTTGGCACCTTAACATTTAAGAGTGAACTCATTTGCATTTGGTTACAAGTAAGCATAGGGGACGCAGGTGGCACTGTGGGTTAAACCACAGAGCCTAGGACTTGCCGATCAGAAGGTCGGCAGTTTGAATCCCTGCGACGGGGTGAGCCCTCGTTGTTCGGTCCTAGCTCCTGCCAACCTAGCAGTTCAAAAGCACAAAGTGCAAGTAGATAAATAGGTACCGCTCCAGCGGGAAGGTAAACGGCGTTTCCGTGCGCTGCTCTGGTTCACCAGAAGCAGCTTAGTCATGCTGGCCACATGACCCGGAAGCTGTCTGCGGACGAACGCCGGCTCCCTCGGCCAATAAAGCGAGATGAGCACCGCAACCGCAGAGTCGGTCACGACTGGACCTAATGGTCAGGGGTCCCTTTACCTTTTACAAGTAAGCATACATAGCATCATACTACATATCTTACCTTCAGGGTCATACGTTTGAAAGACTCGTCTGGCTTGTTCTGAGGGAGCTTCAGGAGCAACAAGAGCTAAATCCTTAAGAGAGAATTCCACAAGATTAAATACATCACTGGAAAAATGATGAAAAGCAATAAACACAAACCATGAAATGCAGAATGTCATCTTAATAAATGAAACATCTAGGAAAGTGAGGCATATGTTTGTTTGTTTTATTACTAATAGAAATTGGTAATTAATAATCAACCCTAGTGAACAGCAGGACCAAGCCACAGTAGTAGTAAAAGATGTTCCAGTAAGTGAAAGGCCAAAATGGTTCAGTTCAGACACAACAGCAAACAATAGTTAAGAAAGCTCTATTACAGTTTTAAATCATGTCCAAGTTGATAAACCATTGTTTACAATATAGTGACAAACAAAAATCACAAATCATAATTTGAAATAACTTTGCAGAAACATGGTTTGGCACAGTACCAACCATAATTGTGGCTATTTCTTTACCATCAGAGGTGAATGCATGTACAGACTAGTGTGCTGAGCAGATAAGCAGTTCTAAAGCACGGCTTGCCATCTAGATCAGGGGTCAGCAAACTTTTTCAGCAGGGGGCCAGTCCACTGTCCCTCAGACCTTGTGGGGGCCGGACTATCTATCTATCTATCTATCTATCTATCTATCTATCTATCTATCATCTATAACTAACGAATTCCTATGCCCCACGAATAACCCAGAGATGCATTTTAAATAAAAGCACCCATTCTACTCGCGTAGAAACACCAGGGAGGCCTCACAAATAACCCAGAGATGCATTTTAAATAAAAGGGCATATTCTACTCATGTAAAAATATGCTGATTCCCGGACCGTCTGCGGGCCAGATTTAGAAGGTAATTGGGCCAGATCCAGCCCCCAGGCCTTAGTTTGCCTACCCATGATCTAGATTGTTACTAGTGCAAACTATGGTGACACTGAGCTACTGTATGCTTTCAGCACCAGAAACAGTGCATAAAGGGACTTCCTGGATTATACAAAACAATAAAGAAAGCAATGATTACATATCTCACAAAGCAGTGCACACACCCACACATACACAGTGCTGCTATTTCAATTTTAGGTCTAGGGGCACTCAAATTAGAGTGCTTTGGATTTTTTTCAATCAAACAGTTCTCATGAGTTGAATGGTTAGTTGCTCCTTTTCTCCCAATTCCTTCCCCTTCCCCCTCCTTTTCTCTATTCCCAGTGCCAAATTTCAGTGGTTATTATAAGCATTACAGTGGGCAAAGGGGGAAAGTATAATTCTTTCTTCCCAATCCTAAACTGATAATTGGGATAGAGAAAGAAGCAGCAAAGGTCTGGGGATGGTAGCTACCCCAAGAAAACACCGGGGCAGGTCTAGGGAAGAAGTAGACCTGGCAGTGATCCTTGCTCTGTCAAAAGCAACAGCCGCAGTGATTTATGAGGTAAGCGGGGAGCTCAACAAAAAGGCTCTACCACACTTCCTTGTCTTATTATGGAGGCTCTTGCTGCAGATACAAGTGGAGCAGGCTGCTTCTGCAATCCTGTCTTATGCTATGCTTAGTCTGCACCAAACATGCTCCACACCCCAATCAAAAAGTACAGCTTTAATTTTTGCAACATTTGTATTTTGTAAAAAGCAAGCAATTCATTCACTTTGGGCAGCAACACTTATTTAAAAAACAAAATATCCCAAAAATGAACTTCATCTGCCAAGCAGTTACAACTTCTGCCAAAGACAAGCACCCAGACCTTGCAAAACTGTTGTCTAACAACATCCCAACCCCCAAATCTTCCATAGAAGGAAATCCTATCATTAGTTTACCAAGCATTGTTCAAGTACACCATGTCCTAAAGGCAAAGGGGTTCATGTTTTACCCTTTGGACTTTGTAATATTCCTGCCCAAAACCATTTTGCTGTATTTTTAAATGTTGTTCTGATAACACAAATTTATTTTAGAATCTCATGTTTACCCTTGGAGGCAAACACACACCGTTAGTACATTGTAAAAAAATCTCAGCCGCTTTTGTTCTCAAAAATCAAAAACAGCACATACAATCTCTGTAATAACTGCAGAGCTGATAAACATCATTAAAAAAAATACATCACTTTTTTTTAACTTTCTAAATACCATGGCTCTAAAAACAGTACATAGCTGTGGACAGACGTTGTCATTAAACTAGCTAAAAGACAAGACATATTAAGCTTAAATACCCTAAGAAGGAACAATATGGGCATAGACTAACTAGCACAGAGGTTTTCAACCTTTTGGGGTTCACCTCTCCCCTGACCAACTACATTCTTTCTGTGGCACACTGTGGGGCTCAGCAGCCCAGTTATGCTAGCCCTTGCCTGCAGAGCAGCCTCTCACACTTTTTCAAATAGCCTCCTCTCCTTGGGAGTCCTCCAGGCAGCAGCTGCTGCCCGCCCCAAAGAGAGGTGCATTGGCCTTATAGCGAGTGCTGCTGCAACAAATGGCTGTGCAAGCCTTTGGGAGGCAGAGACATGAGAGGGCATCAGAGGAAAGAGGGACAGAGGCCAGTGTTGCCTGCAGCACCCCTGACCATCATTCAAGGCTCCCCAGGGTGCCACAGCACACTGGTTGTAAACCACCGGACTAGCAGACTGCTTAAAATTCTTAAGATCCAGAACCATTTAGGACCAATGTCTGTCAGCTGCTCACTCTACCCTCACCACAGAGTCTTCCACCTACATCCTAAATCTGAATTAGGCAGGGATGGTAGAACAATTGTGACAGCAACATAGAATCATAGAATTGCAGAGCTGGAAGGAACCATGAGGATCATCTAGTCCAACCCCTTTTGCCCAATGTGGGGCTCATACCCACAAGCCTGAAATTAAGAGTCTCATGCTCTACCGACTGAGCTGTACAAAGGTACAAGATACTGCACAAGTTGTAAGACTTTCCAACTCCAGCAGAGCTAATGTTATACCAGAGTCATCACGAGGCTGAAAAATTATACTTAAATTACAGCTTGCCTTCCAATAAAACTTAAGGTATGAAGATCACATCCACTGATTTTGCTTTAAGCAGGTGCTACTCCCAACAGGAGGGCTCCTAAACCATTGACGCAGTTTTAAAGAAGCAAATATTTTCACAAATTATAGCACGTTTTCATTTTGTAAGAATTACTATTTCTTGTTTACTTGATTTTCTGGAGGACACAGCAACACAGCATTAATTTTATTATCAATTTGCTAAGTTATGCTTCTTCTTATTATTTATGGGCTTAGCTCATGGTCATAAGATATCGGTGTTAGTGGTTTGCTAGATTGTCCTTGATTCAGCAAAGGTGAGACGTGTGTGGGTCATATTCTTAATTGGGACTTATGCATGAAAAAGGATGCTGGAAAGATTCTGGGCAATATCCAAGTTGCTCAATCCCATAGTAGACCATGGAAATTAATATTACTTAAGGCCATTGATTTCATTGGATTGGGCTCTGTTTACACCAAGTTTCAGAACAAAATCAAGATATTTTTATCTGAAAGCTTCCAAAATTCATTACTTCCTCCTCCCAAACTAGCACTGATCTAATCTAGGGTGCAATATCCAGTGTTAAAAAACAACAGAAAGATTCAGCAATTCTGGATGTATTGGTGTGTCTTGGCAGGAAGATTTAAAGAGTCTTTAGAATGTTCTTACACATCCTTCTTGTCTGGAACTGCTGTCTTAAGTAAAAATCAAAAGCATTCATACGTGTATATGCAAAGATCTTCATCTCTACACAAAGGAGACAATTAAGAGAATGCAAAACAAGCTTATCACAGCTTCAAAGAGGAGTATGAAATGGATTTGCAAGGGTATTAATTGCACTTGTAAAGAATGAAACTGAATGCTGTATCCAAGGTTATATGCAGTGTAGGTGGGCAGGCAGCAGCTGTCACATGCATTACTGTTTGCGCAATAATCAAACAGCTAACAGAAGACAAACTGATTTTAGTAAAGCTTTGTCATCCATGTAATTGTATCAGTGCCAACATTACTATTAGACGTATGTTAAGGTATTTAAACCTCAGCTGGAAAGCACGCAGCAGGCAACACAAATCCAAATTAAAGTCCAAAGACTAATGCTTCATTCACGCTCAGGAGTATGGTGGGATCTGAACAGCTTTGTCAAGTATTTTCCACCAGTTGCTGCATCTTGTGCTGCATTAGAGGCTATAGTGGACACCAATCAAGTTAATTTTTGAGATGGGTGGCAGAGCTACAGTGTGCACATGAAAAGAACACATAGTTCTTTGGATCCTAACTATATATACAGTAATGAATCTACAGAGACCAGAGAAGGACACAACCGCCTCCATTTTCAAGTGGTAGAGTCTCAAAAAAAGAGAGTCTATCACAAGCCTTTTCTCTTTCTATAGATTGACCCTTATTTAAATAAGCTAAAAAATACAGGTTAGTCATAGATATGAAGTGGTATTTGGTAATTAGTTAATAATATACAATGCATTGCAATTTAATTCAAGAACTATGGGATATATGCCTAAACACCACAAACAAAACCCATTTTAGAACTGTGGTTTTGTTTTGTTTTTTGCTTTTTAAAAAAATATGTTGCTCTTCAGTTAAAATGCTTCCAGGCACTGAATTATGTTAAAATAGAATGTGCCAATTTATGGGTTTTTTTTCTCTGGGAGTGCCTTATGTATCTTCTATGAAGTTGCATTTCTTACAAAAAAGAATTGGATTCTGCATAACTGATTTCAGCACACTATTTTTTTTGCTAACTAACCTTGTCAGCATAGACTTTAAATATGGTAGTCCAAAAGGTCACTGTTCATGGCTGAATGTAGACCATTAAAAGGTAATTGTATATACCTCTAGGTGGTAGAACAAATTATTTCCTTTGGGGGAGGGTTAGCTTTTCTTCAAGATTTTAGCAGCAAAGTGTAAAATCACAAAAAAATGTTTTTTATGTTATGTAGGTATAAAACACTAAAGTGCTGAAATACAAATATTCAAAAAGTGAGAAATCATGTTTTATAACTAAAGATATACTAATCTTTCTTCATATTACAGTCTCTTTAAAATTACAGGGTCAAGCAATGTAATCATTAACATCAAACACTGAAGTTAACCATTAGAATGTTTCTGTGCTGCCTTTGTGTTACCTCCAATTTTAACATGATATTACAGATTACTGCAACAAAGTACCATGAGCCAATAACAATGTACTTAGATCTTATTTAGTGTTGTCTGAAAACAACATGCCAATTATCAACTTTGACTAAAAAATGTGCAACATCTCCAGTGCTAAAAAAATAATTAAAGTTTCTCTGGTCCTCTTGCAAGTTTGGGAGCACTCTGGGACAAGCGCAAACACTTAGACAGGCATAGATAAACTCCGGTCCTCCAGATGTTTGGGACTACAATTCCCATCATCCCTGAACACTGGTCTTGTTAGCTAGGGATGATGGGAATTGTAATCCCAAACATCTGGAGGGTCGGAGTTTGCCTATGTCTGTTCTTAGTATTAATAAATATTCCAACTATTATATTGAATTCCCTAGCTTCCACCTCCCCAAATACCCCTGTTCTTGGATGCTTTCCTACAGTCATTTTTGAAAAAACCACACAGATCCTGCAGTTTCACACTTATCCAGAGGTTAGCTGTAACACAGAATTCATGCTCATCTAAGTCCAGAAAGCAGAAGGAAAATGTCATCCTTTCCATTCACCAAAGATCAGTGGAATGTAGCTGCAGCACACCCCATCCCTTGTTTTGATGAAGTTTCAGGATCAGTCAGAGAAAAATGTATTACTTCCACACTTGGTAAGACATAGATTGCAATGCTCAATACATAGCTTTGCACAAATAGCCATGTATGGTAATAGTTTTAGCCAAGCAGAAGGGTCTTTGGGACTTGATTTCTAACTACTCAGAAAAACTCAAGAAGATCCTGAAGATGAGTTGTTTTCAACCATACTGACTGAGTAGTTTGCTTAAGACATTCTCAGAAATCCAGTATGTTTTCCTGTAACATGTATGCCAATAAATTAGTTTAAACCTTCAGTGCTGTGTAAGAAGAGTATACTGTTTGAACTGTAGACTTAAAATAAGATGTATTTGACCTAGGGTGATGAAATGAAACAAAAGAAAGGAATCCTACCTTGGCAAAAAAGACTGTGAGATGAGTTTCACTGCCAAGTATCCAAATAGGGAACTTTGGGGACTTCAAATAGGAGCCAACCTAAAATGAAAAGAAAAAATATGTAGCAAATTCATAACCTAACACCATACAACATTTTGTCCTCAAATATTGCAGTGTACGCTGGGCTAATAGTACTCTGCAACAGAATAGCTCTGCACCCCGAGAAAATAAAAAACAGACATAGTTTGGCTAATGAAACCATCTATGGCCTTTTAAACTGTGTGTGGGGTATTGTTATTGTTTGTTACTGTTGAATGTCTTTTTGTATTTTAAACTGCCCTGTGATCCTCCAGCGAGGGGTGGTATAGGAATTTAATAAATAATAATAATGCTGCTTATTTTGTATTCCAAAATCCAGGTCAGATTTCCCCATATGTATGAAGGAGCTTGGTATGAAAGGACTAGAGGAGGAGACAGGTACAAAAATTTGTGAAAGCTAGCTATATACAGTATTCATCACTGTGACCCCTGATTCCTAGATACTGTGTTTGGATCCTGCTTTACCAGACAAAACTGCATGTTGCATTCTAATAGCCATCATCATGAACACCACCATATTTATTAATAATAACAACCAACATGAAACTGAATACTTCTTTTAAAAAAAAAAGTAAAATCAGAATTGGCCACTGTGAGAACAGGATGCTGGATTAGATGGGCCATTGACTGGATTCAGAAGACTACTCTTACGTTCTTAATTATCAGGATGAATTCTGTATTATAATGAATGCTGTACTTGCATGGTAACCACAAATACATGTGCAAAAACTAAATTTAGGGTTCCAAAGATTTATTGGGTTTTTTATGCACGAAATAAGAAAGTTTCAGAGCTGAACAAGTGCATGAGTGATCCTCAGAGGGACAAATCAGTGTAGATGCTTCAGTAAAATATCAAATATATTGAGTGTAATTCCTGTACCTGCAGGATTCCTATAGCTGTTTTCCCATCTTCCCCTGCTTACAAGGGCCCATTAAGAGTGAATGGTATGTTCAGAGCAAATTATGAATGGTTTGAAACAAAATTTATACTGAGGCAAGAGGGAAAGCTGGTGCACATGGATTTCTTAACTACATAAATAACTTTTCATAGGCAAGGGGAGGTGAGAAAACAGGCATTCATTGATCCTATGATAATTCTTAGGTGGACTAGATTGTGCCTTTTAGATTCTTGTGACAGGGGAGGGAAGCGAAAGACAGACATAACTTGTAACTCTGAATAAGCTAAGTTTCTTCATTGCTTACTCATTAGCAAGACATATGACTTTGCTGTTGCTAAAAAATGGTGATTCTAAAAAAGATTTTAAATTTGAGATTTGAAAAATTCAGATGACATATGTGATTTCTCTTCAACAGTTAAAGGATGAAGTTGAAATACCAAGTTTTCAAAGGAATTTCTTTCTGGAGCTAACACCATGCTTTTACAGAAGGAGCAATATCCAATTAAGTCATACTGAGACAGAAATACCTACAGAAATAAATTGACTTCAATTATTTCAATGGGTCTACTCTTAAGTCTGAATTACACAGAATATCACCCAATGACTTTGAACTATCTTACCTTACAGTATCTTAGAGATTCCATAAGTGTCAAAAAACCAACAGTTGCTTGTTTATGTATTCCAAGTAGTTCTGAAGAGAAATAGAACTCTGTATTAGATTGCAAAATTTGAGTCATGCTACAGTTTCCTTCTTAAAACATGCCATGACACTTTGGCCTACAATCAATCATGTAACAGAGGACATAAAAGCTAGGCAGAGAAATAAGGGTGCAATCCTATTCCTAAAATCCTCTGACTGAATAGACCTTGGAAGTGACAAAACTACTGCCTGACTCATGGAGAGCAAATCGTGTTGATGGAATGAGATATCTACCCCCAGAATGATGGTGGAAGGCTAGAGACAGAGGCCAAAGTATGGTGGTGGAGGGGGGCATTCTTGGCCCAAGCCCTATTACAAATTTTCAAGAGTAACTTAGCATGGAAATCAAGTCATAACAACAGAACAAAAAACTGATAAACACATACAACAGAAGAATTATTTCTCTCTTTTGTTTACAAGAAGCTTTTTGTTGATGCCAAATATATGATGAACTCTTAAAAGCAAACAGTGCTAAGAACTAGAACATCCTTCTCAATGGGCTTTTTCTTTCCATTGCCAACTTGTACTCTGTGCAGAAAATTTTGAAGAAAATTGGCTTGTAAAAAGGCCACTCTAAGAAAAACTGAAAACACAGTTGGTGTACTACAAATTTATCTGAACTCAAGAGCATGCTGTTAACATATCAGCAAAATCTGCCCCAAGCCTGCCTGCTTAACTTGAGGCAAACTCCTCCTCTCCCCCAGCCCGTTTTGCATTCTGTAAGGGAGAGTTGCGTGGCGATTCCCGCCCCCTCCCACAGATGGAATAAATAAAGACACCGGACACCAGAACTTAGGTTAATGGGCGAAAATGGCCACAACTTCACTGATTACAGGTAAGAGTGGTATTGGCTTTTAGGCATTGGCCCTAACAGACTATCTGGGAATGGCTTTATAAAACATCTCAAGAAAGGTGCACATATGTTGCCTGGACAAGTGGTTCCCCAAACCTCCCCCTCCCACTATGAACCACTTGAAAATCAGTACTTTTGTTTATTATTATTATTTCTTTAATTGATTAATTAATCAAAATTGAGTGGGCTACTTTTTATGAAATAACAAATAAAATATAACCACCAAACTGAGTTATTCTATTTCTTAATCTGTCAAAGAAATTAGTAAGGGATACCTCAGAGGAATTTGTGTGTGGTTAAGATATAAGAATATTCTTTGAACAGGCAATAGGGAATGGAAATTGGCTATAGCTCTGGGGAAATTACTCATTATCTCAAAATGGGGGGGGGGGGAGGAAAATAAGAACGATAGAAAAGAAGAGGAAGTACCAACATTTAGTGTGTTGGCAGAACAAACAGAGATGTTTTTGAGTAAAGAACTGAATGATGTTGAGGTATGAATGTGAACTCTAAAGTTATTTTCTTAGAAAATAAAAAGGAGAGTAAACATGCATCTGGACTGCTCACAGGGATATAATTTTAGAGAAGGGCCAAACAGGAGCAGAAAAACAAGTTGGCAAGGAAAGGGTTAATAATCACCCAAGAGTACTTTTTGTTTGTTTCTTTGTTTAAAAGAGTGGCCTTTGGGGCTTCATTGCATACATTTGTGGGTAACATACAATTTGATTTTAAGCCACTTTTGCCCAAGGAATACATTAGTACCCAATCAGGTAAGTACTACAGACCCCGTTTTTCAAAAGCCAAGCCATAAAAAAGGATATCTCTATGGTAGTTTTTGTTATGTGAATGATGCCATGAAACTCTGGGTGGGTTGCACAGACCTCCTGGGGTCTGCAGACCACCAGTTGGGAACCACTGCATTACTGCATTGTATCTAGGCTGTATCTGAACATTACAGAAAAAAGTCAGGATTATCAGCAACTCTATACCGATTTTCTTCATTGTTAATCTTGAAATTCTGGAAAGACGAAACAAACTACAGCGCTACATTTTCAAGTTTCCTCATCCTTTTTCAGTGATTCATTTATAACCAAATGGCTATATATGGCAATATACTAGGGACAAACACTCTGTGGGCAAACAGATCAGATTGGGTGGGGTGGGGGGAGTGACATGGGGATTAAATTAGTGAATATTTTACATGTATTTATTTTTCATTCTACTAAGAGCATAGTTCTAGATTCAAGGAAGAATTCTATCAAGTTTCTTATAAGCACATTGTCAAAGAGCTTGATTACATGAAACCACTACCAGCCTTCCTATTTCAAGATATATTAAAGGGGAGACAAAGGCACTGCATAGCTATCTCACAGTAAATACCTTGTGCAATGTCTCTCATAGCAACTAGATGACTTTGGAGAGGTTTACCCACATTCTAAACTCTTCACTTATTTTTCTTCCTTAGGGCCTACTGCCATCTTGTGGTAAACTAAAGAGTACAAGTTTCCTTGTACTGTACAGATGCTTCAGGTTACAGATGCCACTAACCCAGAAATAGTACCTCGGATTAAGAACTTTGCTTCAAGATGAGAACAGACATTGCGCGGCAGCGGCGGGGCGGCGGCAGGAGGCCCCATTAGCTAAAGTGGTACCTCAGGTTAAGAACAGTTTCAGGTTAAGAACAGACCTCCAGAACGAATTAAGTTCTTAACCCGAGGTACCACTGTATACAATACTGGTAATTAGCTAACATGGGCTAATTCGAACTCCTGACACCCCAGACTCCTTGAAGAAATTTATTAAAGCCCAGCACTCAAATCTCACAGAACTCAGTGGGGAGGCAGTTTACCAAAAACGAATGACTAGAATTTTGCAGTCAAGTAGCATTTTGAAGTGGAGTAATATGTCAATATTCATAAATAGACAAAAAGAAACACAAGCATTCGTATAAAGCCATAGCTTTAGTTTGTAAGAACTATATACAATTCAAATGCAAAACATTTAGTCTATCTCTTGATGCTGCATCACAGCAAAGTCATATCAAGTACAAACTTACTCATTCCTGAGCATTCCCTGTCTCCATCCCAGACGTTAGATACTGCATGCCCCGTCAACAGGAGGTTAATTAAGCTTTGGCTTAATATGAAGAAAACAAGCTTTTAGATTTGCAATTTGCATCAACATTTTTCTAAACAAATTAATTTTGATGGCACTACAACTTTTTTCTTGAAAAGCACATAGGGAGATAAAGCAAGCTACAACATGCACTTAACCTTTTTCAGAAGGTCTAGGTTCAATTTCAGTTCATCTGGTATAAAATCATACCTCTAACACAACGGTGCTAACAATATGAGATGCTTCCAGATGAAAGGATAAAAAACCAGTCCCACATATTCACCATCAATTCCTTTGTAACTAATAATGGCTGAAACTGTGTTTCTAAAGTATGATTTGTTCAGAAAACAGGCAGTACTTTCCTTAAGGAAAGTATAGGACTAACCAGAGCTTACCTTCCATGACCATACACTGGATCTATTAATGGCTCAGTTGAATCTTCAATTTCATTTTTTATGTTTTCAATGCCCTAGAAAACAGGAACGCTTTCTGGTATATTTACTGGCATAGTGGCCACATCTTCCTGCTAAGAAATATTTGTTTCTTTTAACAAATAACCAACCCTTAACATTTTGTCAACAAACCTAAATATTAGTATCAGGAAAAACTGATACATATAGTTAGTTTGCCCTTCATTTTGACTAACTTGTTCCAACAAGATAAATGAATTGTCATTCAGGCTGTCACTGAACAAGCAAAGGATTAAACTGGGCATAGGACAGAGGGGCGCATGCAAGTCTTGGCCCCAGTGCTCCTAAGAGAAGCCAGCTGCAGTTTAGATCTTCGTAAAATGAGCCCAAAAGTCTGAATGAGTTAAAAAAAACCACACACCATATTTTTCCGGGTATAAGACACCCCCATGTATAAGACGACCCCTATTTTTTTTAACCCAAAATTAAGAAATTAAGTTGTTTAGCTATTGGGGGGGATGGGGAAAGTCACTTCTGCCAATCGCTCACCCGCCTGCCCGCCACTGCCAATCGCTTGCCACAGCCACTGCCGATTGCACACCTCGCCGCAGCCGCCAATTGTCTGCCCGCTCGCTGCTACCAACAGCCTACCCGCCCACTTGTTGCAGCTGCCAATCGCCTGCCCGCCTCACCACGGCTGCCAATCGCTTGCCCAATTGCCACAGCCACAACCAATCGCCAGCAGACCTTGCCGCAGCCACCAATCACCCGCCCAATCGCCGCTGCCAATCTCCTGTTTGCTGCTGCCATTAATCACACGTCTCCCCTTTGCATTCACTATGCCTTTTTTTTTTAAAGTGAGACACTGCTGTCATAGACATTGTGAGCTTGGGGGGTGGGGAGAGAGGGGTAGTGATTCTTCATTATTTTGCTTAGTGTATGTGCAAAGTTTTTGTGTCAGCGTTGCGACGATAGGTTCTTTATTTTTCTGTTTGTTTTTGTTCACATGTTCTTGATTTAATTGCTTAGAAGCAGCTCCCACAACTCAAAAACCTGATAAGCCAGGGTTCCTACTTGCAGGGAGGTTTCACAGTACATTGAGTCAAACAAGCTTAAAAATGCCCTTCAAACCTATGCACTGATCAAAACAAAGATCTAAAAAGCAGCTGGCTTGGGGACACCCCCCCACCCCATCCATGATTAACAAGTGCCTATACAAAGCTCAAGGTTCTCCCACAGTGTAAAATTAACAGTTTACAGTATTAAAACATCTAATTGTAGATTATGAAACCAAAATGGGAAGATCAGGCCAAACAACAGGAAGTTAATAAATATGCCTGCCTCATGCAGGCACACACAAGGTACTAAAGGTTATGGGATGGAGGAAACAAGCACCTTTAATCCCCTTCCTTTTTTTTTGTTAGTTTAAGAAAACAAACATTTTTAAAAATAGAAACAAACCTTTGTCAGTATCACAGAATACAGAAAAAGCAACACTCCAAATTTGTTTGTCCAGACTGAATACTGATTACAAACTGCTTCTTTGAAATCAGGAAAGCTTGTGAATGACTGCTTGCTGAAGATTAAAAAGAAAAGTCCATTAGACATGGAACTAGGCTTTGACAGAGTTCAATTTTGTATTTGTTAGCTGACTAGCAACAAAATGCAAGATAACGTAAGGTGCAACTGAATGCTTAAGGCATGCAATAGTATCTGTGACCAATACATTTGCAACACAATTAGCAGCAACTGTCTTAATGGAGAAAAAAATAATGGTTATAGCATGTACACAGTACAAGTAGTGTCAATATGGCAGCACGCGTCACAATTTTAGAAGCCTGGTTTTGATTTTTCACCTGAAAAGTTCTCATACGACAGTGAAAATTGGCAGATGTTTAGATTTAGGTCATCACAACTTTAATGACTACTTAAAATTTTGTTCTTGTTGGTAAAGACACAATGGGCAGATAGTACCATTTGCCCTTATAAATTTTCTCAAATAGCAAATGCCTAATTAAGCTAATAGCCCCATATTGAACTCAGTTCAGAAAGCTGCAAGTACAGAAGACTGCATGCCTAATGCTGTGCTTACACAATGTTCCCTTCCATCACAAACCCCACACATTCAATTGGTAATGTAAGTTCAGGAGTTGAATTGTGCCAAGAGAATTCACTTAGATACCTCTCACAGCACAGGCACATTGACATGTCCTCAAAGTGTGAATCACTGATTGGTGGGGATATGGGTCTGTCCATCTTTCATTCCCAACTTAGCTTTTGAGCATCTGGGAAGTGTAACCTGAGTTCACGTTAAGATAGATACTGCTGAATTGTGGTGATTGAGTAAGAAACTGGATTGCTTAAAACCATGCAGTTTTTTTCTAAATACATGTGGCTCACAGGACAATTTTGTATTCAGGCCACTTGAAATGTTCAACCATGACTCTTCTAAGCTAATGCTGAAATTTTAAAATAAATGCCTGAATTAAAGCAGCAACAAAATCAAGTTAAAATTACAGATTTGGATAGTCACAGTTGTTTTGATCTTAAAGCAATAGCTTTCTTGAGCCTAATTATCTTTTAAACCTTGATGTTCAACTGCATTAAGTATGAGGCTTACACCTGAAAGAAGTTTTGTTTACTGGGGAACTACAAGATAGTGTATTTTAAGTGTTCCAATATGTTACTTACTGAATTAATGAATGAAATCGCTCAAAGCCAAGCTCTTCGACAGCCAAGGCAGCTATACACAAGAGACACTTTTCAGCACTACACATGGCAAAAAGTGACACAAGAAACACACAGCAAGCTAGAATACTTCCAAGTCTTTCATAATTTAACCCCAACCCCCACCCTCTTTTGGACCAATTTCCACTTGGACCAATTTAATGTAACCCAGTTAGGTCTCCACAATACAGGTACAAACAATTTAGCAATATTGAGTCTAGACTAGCAAACCATTAGTTCAATAGCCTTGAAAACTTTCAAGTTGTGCATAAATTATGACAACCACGGCAGGGAGGTCACCAAGTGCAAGCAAAATGAACACACAATTCTGCTATTTGAGTAAATTTTCCACAAGAGCAAGCGAGTAGTTATACAGATAACTTCAGAGCAGAACCGGTGTTAAGACAGCTGTATTTTCATTCCATTTCTTTCAACACATTTTGCTTCAGAACAACTAATTAGAAAAATATATTTTAAGCAATGCTCTTTTTAAAGATAACTATCCTCTATTATTCTACTCAAGTATGTGTTAAGTGACCCAAAAGTAGGAAAAAATACAGCATTTAGTGCCTTCCTAGGTTCAGACTTTATACCACCTTTCCCTCATCCTCTGTAATTAAATTAGAAGTGGGGTTTTCCTTTACCCAACTGATGCCTTCCCAGTTAACTAATGTGTTACCAAGTATTAGTGAAATGGGCTCAGCATAACATCATACCTGCATGGGAACCACATATATGTTGCTTTGAGTGATGTGAGACAGAATATAACATATAGTGGAACCTCAGGTTGCAGACGTAATCCATGACAGAGGCACGTCCACAACCCGCAGCTTTTGCATCCTGAAGTGTCGCGTCTGCGCAGGTGCGATTTGGCGCTTCTGCACATGCGTGAAGCATGATTTAGCGCTTTTGCGCATACGCAAGCGGCGAAACCCGGAAGTAAACTGTTCCGGTACTTCCGGGTTTCCCGCAGCCTGCAACCAAAAAACACGTAACCTGAAGCGGCCATAACATGAGGTATGACTGTAATATAAAACTCAACATCTAGGAAAACTAGTGCAGAAACTAATGTTATCTGTATCACTGTTAATATGGGGTCCTAAGGAAAAGGTGATAGCGGCAGCTTCTGCAATTCTTATTACATGACAAGAATGGTAAGCCCTCAAAATCAGACTAGCAGGATTCATCTTCTATGGAAGATACCTTTGAATTGTACTAATTAACAATCTTGTCACTTTGGGAAGTGAAGAACACTGAAATTGTTACATACAGCTTTAGTAACAAATGCCTATTCTGGGACATTCACCAGGTACGAACAGCAGGCCTTACTGCAGTGGTTCCCAAACTTTCCCTTCCTCATGGAACACTTGAACATTGCAGAGAATCTTGGCAGACCATTTAATTATTTTTCTGCCTGCTGTAGCAATTTATAATGTGCTGTGCTTAATGCTCTGGTTTTAATTGTACTTTTACAGACATGCTGTGGACCACTTGAATGAAGCTCAGGGACCACCAGTGGTCTGCAGATCACTGTTTCGGAACCCCTGCCTCAGTGAAAAGTGTTCTAAAATTAATTACTGCACCAATTAATTATTGGTGCACCAATTAATTATTGCACCAATCACATCCAATAAAACCAATTAAATTATGAGCACCACAACCTGAGGGACTTATGATATAAAGGTATTTCTGAACCTGTGAATTAGCACTATTACAGTCAATGAATGGCAAACAAATCATAGTTGTGCACAACATAAAGCAGATGAAACAAGTAGACTTTGCATTGGCAATCTGTGGACCAGTTACTGTTGCCAATTTCACTGACCCTGCTGAACTGAATGGAATGGTAAGAACAGTATGTCAAGTGATGGACTATGATTAGAGGAACACAAGTGCTGTTGAGAGTAAAAGTCCTGTATAAAACAGGAAGGTTTGAATTAAGTTGCCTGATTCACTATTTAAGGAAGTATAAAATGGGAAATGGGAAGCTTTAATATAAAGTATCTGTACAAAAAAATTGATTTACTAAAGTTCTAAGGGGTTGTTTTTTTGCAGCAAACAACACACTCCATAAAATGTATTAGGGCTCTATGGTTACTAGAAAAAGAATCTATTATAGTTTAGTTTCATCAGAAGTGTGTAGACAAACAAAGGAAAGTCGCTGACTTTTCAGCTAACAGTTTTTTCCCATATCTGTTCTTTGGGGATGAGGAAGAAACCACAAGTCCTAAAAATTTATATAAAGATATTGCCCTGGCTCATAGTTTTTCAGCCACAGAAGACTCCAGTATGTATGCAGAGAAGCATGTGAATGGGAAGGTAAAACCTGCCAGTTTCCCCTCCCAGCAGCATCCCTTGTGCCCTTTGGGAGGCTGCCACCAGAAGGGGGAGCTGAAAAGGCCTTGTGAGGAACACTTTTTGTGGTACTTTGCATATACCGTATTTTTCGCTCTATAACACGCACCTGACCATAACACGCACATTGTTTTTAGAGGAGGAAAACAAGGGAAAAAACATTCTGAATGAAACAGTGGATGTATCATTTTTGTGCTTCATGCTGTGGCCACAGACATGTGATCTGATGGTGAATTTGGGGTGACCCAATGCAAAGATCCTGAGGATCCATGCTTTTTAACCACGTTTTTGCACCATTGCAGCCCCAGGCAACAGTGGGTGCGTGATTTTTTTGGTGCAGGCTGTAGCCATGGACATGCTATGTGATCTGATGGTGAATTTGGGGTGACCCAATGCAAAGATCCTGAGGATCCATGTTGATCTATGCTTTGTAACCACATTTTAAGTGGGGAGCGAAGGAAAAACAAAGAAGGGACATGAGAGGGATGTGCAGAGAAGCAGCTGGCTAAGAATGCTGGAGAGGGATAACGGGTGGGAGGAAAGATAGGCAAAAGTTCCCCCCCAAGCCAGCCATCTCTCTCTCTCTCTCTCTCTCTCTCTCTCTCTCTCTCCCTCCCTCCCTCCCTCCCTCCCCCTCTCTCTCCCTCCCCCCTCTCTCTCCCTCTCCCTCCCCTACTCTCTCTCCCTCTCCCCCAGCAGCACCGGAGCACAGAGAGGAATTAGAAAGAACGACACTCTGCTTGCCTGGAGGGGCGGGGCTTTCCCTGCTCTTTGTTCCGTTTCAGCAAACACAGCAACGAAACAGAGGAGGGTGGGCAGTAAGACCCTGAGGCAGAATGCAGGAAAGCTGCCACTTCCTCTTTTCAGGTTTCCCTTCTCCGTGAAGCGCGATTTGACTTTTGCTTGATTTTTTGGCTCCAGGGACCACACATTCGCTCTATAACACGCACAGACATTTCCCCTTCCTTTTTAGGAGAAAAAATCTGCGTGTTATAGAGGGAAAAATACGGTATTCCTAAATATACATGCCTTTCTTCCTATAATAAGTTGTGGCTTCAAAATTGGTATGCATTGAGGAAAATGAAATTTGAGTAAAAGTCAAATACGAAAAACATGCCTGACAGGCAAAATGCAGGCAGGTGATCTGGTGTTAGTGTAGAGAGGAAAGAGAGGAAGCAGAAAGTTACAGGTGTTTATTTTCCTTACAAACTAGCAGAAAGTATTCTGTATAGCAAGTTTCAATATTACATCCCATTTTATGAACTCAAGGCCAATTTCTACACTGCATTTTACAGTCACTTTGTGCAACCAGGAACTCAAGTCAAATCCCTCCCTCAAATTTAATTCACTGTATGACAGAGACAGCTGTGTGAGAAAGAATACCAGGCTAAATCTTAAAAACGACAATCATCTTAAAAATACTATTCATACCTTTACAGAGTGTGTGTGTGTAAGAGTGGGTGTTGAATGTCTGTCTATGTCTACAGGGCTCCAAAACCTGAAGGAGAAGTGGGGCCACACTCTGACCCCAAGCCCAAAGCTGCATGTCTCCTCATCCCTGCCTTTCATGCAGGGCATCTGAAGGGAGCTACAATCACAATAGGGCATTATGTTTTCTTATTGCTCCAGTTTTGTAAGACTATTGAATAAATGCTAGTTATTCAGTACTGGATATTACTTGTAACCTTATTTCAATAGGTCTTTTCTGTCCTATCCTGCCCTTTGCAGTCCCTGTGTGCCCGCCAAATAACTCCAGAGGGTTGGGAGACCCTCCAGAGCAGATGTGGATGTCCCATCACACCTACTGGTGAGACACTGGAACTTTCCTAAGATTTGAAGTGGGTTTCCACTACCCAAAGTCAAAACTGAGTACCGTCTGCTGGTGTTCTGAAATAGTAAGCTGTGGCTTATCAAGACTGGAAGAGAAAGCTTCCAAAGTTCTTCTTGTCAGCTTTGCCAGAGTGGAAAAGCAGCATGTGAGCAGAGTGGGAGGCAAAACTCATTCACATAATGCTAAGCTATGGTGTAGCATTACATATCTGAAAAAAGAAGGAAGTACATAGAGGCATACAGGACAATGTCCTGGCAACTGCTACTACTTAAAGGTCTAAAACTGATAAATGATATTATCAATCACTTCATGGTTACTATCAGCAGCAGGCAAGCCAAAATGCATCCAAATGAGACTTTGGGTTTTGGGCTTGGCTACCAAATGGTGGTATTCAGTACAATCCAAAGTACGGTGATGAGTCATAGTGAATACAAATTATCTGGGACTGCCAGACAGCCTACTAGGTGGCAGAAGCAGCAGTGGCAGAAACAGCTTGCCATGACCACGGTACATGTTGGCAGTAGCGGTGACAACCTGCAAAGCCTCGTGGTGGCACCACAATCAGTGGCAACTTGCGAGGCCTTGTGGCGGCAACGGGAGGGGGCAGCTGTAGCAGCGGCAGCCTGCAAGGCCTCGCGGTGCTGGCACAAACTGTGGTGGCCTGTGAGGCCTTGTAGCAGTGAGAGTGAGTGACCGCAGTAGCAGCGGCGGACTGTGAGGACTTGCAGCAGCGATGGGAGGCAGTGGCAGATGGGATGGTGGCGGCCTGCAAGGATGGGAGATGGCAGCAGTAGCAAAAGTCCTTGTTGCGATGCGTTTTGACTTGCCTGCTGATGAAACTGTATGTGTGATGATTGATAATATTGTCATTTAACCGCTTTAGTAGCAGCAGTTGCTTGGACATTGTCCTGTTTGCCTCTGTATAGTTCCATCCTTATTTCTGACATTGTGGATGATTCCAATGTTTAACTAATGATGACATTGCAGTGTTTAGCTGATGATATTGTGAGGTTTAGCTGGTGATTACATTGCAGTGTTTAACTGGTGAGTTATTGCAATGTTGAAAACCAGTTATTGCCTAGCCCTTACACACATTTTGATTCACGATATATTGCCAGCTCAAATATTATGAAACAATGATCAAACTGGTTTTGGACGATATGTTGATGTATCACCCAGCCCTACTGTAAGGAGCAAGGGCAAGTCACACTATGTGAGCAGATGCCCACCTGTGTAATGTGAGATGTCACCAAAAGTTCCCTATATTGAATAAGTGTGGGTTTGCTTGTTGGTTTTAAAAGCCGGACTCTTCGCATGTACTTAGAACCTGATAATGTATACTGAATACTTGTGTTACCGATATTTATTAAATATGTGCCCATTCTGTTGCAATTAAATCAGGAAAGAATAGAAAAGTACAAATCACGAGCTGCTGAAACTAAGCTGGTAAATGTCACACAATTATGCAGAAGCAGATACCAGTGATAGGAATGTGGAGTTCTTTTTTACTAAAAGGTACCCATAATAGGACTTTTCAGAATGTCATAGAATTATAGTGGTTTTCCAGTATTCTCTTTTTTAAAGTAGCTTTTTAAATAAGAATATTTCAAAATGCAACGACATGATGATAAAGTGTATTTATGTGAGGGGGAAGGTTCAATTTCTCCTTTTATTTTTATGACCCATGTATGAATAAATTTACTTACTTGAGAGAAAATGTTTTGGCAAGAATATCAGAACACTAATCACATGCAAGAGTCTTTAAATTATTTCTTGTCTTAGCAACTCTCCTCTACTGACTGCCCATTGTGAATGACCTAATGATATCATATTAAATTGACTGCAGGTGGAAACTAAACAAATGTGTTAAAATAACCCAAAGTAACTATGGAACACACAAGGGTAGTAAGATAAATTTAACAGCGAAAAGTCGTTTCCAAATCATTCACTCTGGTCCTTCTCAATTAAATATATATTTAATAGAACTGACAATTGATCAGTCGATCAATCTTATGCTTAATAAATATTAAACTGATGAAAATTTGCATATGAATACTTCTGAAATTCTTAAGTTATGCACATGTCACATGAAGCAGATAGAGGAATGTCTCTTCAATATTATACCTCACACCTACAGCATTTCTAAATTATTGTATCAGAAAAATATTGCTATACAGTCTGCTGCCTGATTCATTAGGGGCACCATTTTATTAAGTCAAAATGTGTTTATATAATGCAAATATTATAAACCTAATATTCAATAGCTAAGGGTTGCCTAGCACCATAAAATGGGATGCAACACTAGGCTTGAGTGTTTGTCAATGTCCTTAGATCAGGGGTGGCTAACCTGTGACTCCTCAGATGTTGTTAAACTACAACTCCCATCAGTCTGAGCCAACATGGCCAATTATCAGGAATGATGGGAATCAAGTTCAGTGACTTCAGGGGAGGGGATGCTGCACAGGTTAGCCCACCCTGCCTTAGATCAATGGCACTTAAATGAGTCTGTATTGAGCTTAATTTATGAAACTGAAGAACAACTAGTGCCAGGATAAGAGATCTGGTATACAATAAAAAGCATTCTTAAAAACAAAATAAAGCTTGTTAACAAAACCAAAGCAGTGTTCAGAATCATATTACACAAGGCATATCTTACAAGGCTGGTCCTCTTGGTGGCTTGATTCAGCAGAACTATCAGAAATACTAGCAGTTTCTTCAGCAGTCCTTCCTCTTCGCCATGTTACCAAACAGTATGATTCTGAATTATCAGAGGAAGCCAGTTCCAAAATATCACTTAAGGTATGACAGAGGAGATTCTTCTGCTCTTCCTCTGAAATATTCAAAGTCAGAACACACACAAATTTTGACAGTGAACTTGCATGCAAAACATCTGGCAATGTTCATACTACTCAGGGTTTTCCTTAAACCCTGGCAGCTTTAAGGCAGACTAGGAGAAGGATTGGCAACTGGTGGTTTCCAGGTCAAATCTATATCTTGAGGCTACCTAGACCCCTAATCTACCAGTCCAATTTTTCTACTTAATTCAGCAGGAGGATAAGAGTAGGAAAATGGAACAAGGGAGGCATGATGCGGAGCAGAAAAGATCTGTTTACAGTTCATGTTATGATCACAATACAAATGAGTTCAACCTTAAGAACCAGTTTTTCTTTGCATTTATAATTTGACAACTTTGGCAGATTCCAGTTCACTGTTTTTTCTAGGAGGGAAACTAAACATACACACAATTTCTACTGAGCCTTAGAAAATCAAGGGTAAAGGGCAAAGGTTCTTTATTCATCAGAGTTCCAAGTGCCTCCACTTATCCCAATTGAATACAATGATCAATGAGGGTAAGTCCACCTTCTCCAGTCCTAAGATAAGAGAAACAAGTTCAGCAGAAACAGTAAGACAAACTGTGTAGTAAGAATAAAGAATATACAGTGACATTTATGCCACTTGCCTAATTTACATGACAATTCCATTTGCAGGATTTGGACTCTCTTAAGCCCCACTTAAATTTTGTAATGCTGAATTCTATACCCTCTATTTCAAAACCATCAGCAAATAATGCATTTGTACACTAATTGTAACATCAAATTACTGCAGAAGCATATTGCTAATAGCTCATGAATAATAGTGAACTATAATTTAGCTTAAAAGTAAAGGTAAAGGTACCCCTGCCCATACGGGCCAGTCTTGACAGACTCTAGGGTTGTGCGCCCATCTCACTCTATAGGCCGGGGGCCAGCGCTGTCCGCAGACACTTCCGGGTCACGTGGCCAGCGTGACAAGCTGCATCTGGAGAGCCAGCGCAGCACACGGAACGCCGTTTACCTTCCCGCTGGTAAGCGGTCCCTATTTATCTACTTGCACCTGGGGGGTGCTTTCGAACTGCTAGGTTGGCAGGCGCTGGGACCGAGCGACGGGAGCGCACCCCGCGGCGGGGATTCGAACCGCCGACCTTTCGATCGGCAAGTCCTAGGCGCTGAGGCTTTAACCCACAGCGCCACCCGCGTCCCAATAATTTAGCTTAGCACTGTGTAATTTGCTGGAAAGTACTATATCAAAACCCTCTTGTGGAGGTAGATTTATGGTTACCTTGACATTGTCTCCAGGTAGATTTCTCACAAGTAAAAAGCTTCTTCAGAAGGAATGCCTTATATTAAAGATAACATTGACATATCAGATATGTATGATTTGTTCTTCAGTGATGCAAAGTTGCATTTTCAATATCAGTTTAACTTCTTTTTTAAAAAATAAAATACATTCCTAGTTACAGAAGGCCTTTTCCCCTATGCAAAGGTACAATTTACTTTTTTGCTCACTATCACTAAATTATTTACATAGCTACGGGATTAGAAATTGCTTTACTATAACAGCATGATAAATTTTCTCATGCAATTATATCATTCTCTCCGAATCTTACAAATGTTTGAAGCATTTGATGGCCAATGTAGAGGACTAGATATCTGCCCCTACCTAAAACATAAAATGAACTTTATCAAGAGTTAAGTGCTGCAGGAACTCACGGAACAGGTTAGTTCTCAGATCTGTATCTGCAACTGATTTAAGTAGGCATGTTGATTTTATGTATTATGTTAATGCTGCAGACAACAGTGGCTCAAAACAGCAGCACTGGTAGTGTTCAATCTGTACTACTTCAACAGAGAATAATCACCTAAAGTAAACCCAACCAATATATATTTGTCATAGTGTTTACTTTAGGTTTTCACATAAGCCAAAGGACAGAAGGCAAAAATAGGTATGTTTCAAATTTACATAGTTTCCACAAGCTTCTATAGTATTACCTGAATGGGTGCAATCACAGCGCAAGGGCCTCCTTCAAATTGTTCTAATGCAGTTGATTCTGATTCACTAAATACAAACCCTAATAGGAGGAACCAAAATAATGGGTTAGTTGTTTCCAAAGAAAAATGTCCATTAATAGAACAGTCTTTCATACTTATTCCTTGTCAGAGTCAAACTGAGTTCTGAGTTCTACTTTCAATATTCTGTCTCTGCCTAATAAAACTCAAACAACCCTGCTCAGTTCTTTTAACGGTATCAATTCATTGTACTGATGCTTTCAAGAAGCTGCATCAACCCCAGCCTAATTTTCGGAGTGGTAGTAGGTAATTATCATTTCCTAGTGTTTGTATCCTTACTTATCCTACCTTCTGTTAGAAATGTGCAAATGTTATTCAGTCTGGCTTGGCAAAGGCCATCAAATCCTCATTCCAATACAAGTGCTGCAGTGACAGGAATACCTTTATTGTATCTATCTATCTATACATACACACACATATACATATATTCATATATATCACTACATTTCTTCTTAAACCAGAACCTAAGCAAGTTCCAACATTGTAAAAGAAATATTTTTCTTAATGTTTTAAGAAAAGGTCCTAGGGACAAAGTATAAATAAATGACTGGGGGCGGGGGAGTGGAAACCTACATGGTAATGTCCATATACTGGTGGGCGGGTGAGAGGACACAGTCATGGTCTCATCAAATGACTACCTTCAACTGGGTTCAACAAATAATAAATTCCATCTGAACACAGATATCCTAACTCCCCAATGGTACATTCCAGCCACACACAGAAACTGTGCTCTGCAGTTTTGCTCAATTTTGTATTGAACTCCATGCACTTTCTAGGTCATATTCAATCTAGAGCAGTGTATTGCTTTGACACAAACGAGGTATTGGAGTGAACAGAGTGTACAAATATGTCGCTTTTGCTTAGCTTTTCCAGTAGCTAAATGGAACCATGAAACAAACCAAAAACAATGGATACAAGTTTCACCTGCCATTTCAATATAATGGGTGAAGGGGGTATTTTTACAGGACACAAACATTTACAAGGATACTGTAGGAAATGGTAAACAAGTACAGTCCATCTCTGAAGCAGGTCAACATAAAAAGCAAGACTTGAATGTAATTCCAAGGACTCTATGAACTTTTTAAAAAGCGTATTTAGGGGGAATATTTTGAATGTGAGTACTGAAGACTATAGTCACAATACGATGTTAGAACAAACTCGCATTGAGCTCAGCAGCAGCTCTAAAATTGTTATATGAAAGGACAGCAAAACAAGGCCAGGTTTTCTGACTTGACAATAACTGAAGCTTATATTAACACAAAGGCACTGTAAAGCTTGAAAGCTTCTATTCCAGTCCAAGCGAGTTGCTGGGGTGAAAGGGGGTGGGGAAAAGCTGCAATAGAACCAAAACCAGAAGAATCCAACTTAGGGGAGAAGGAAGTGAAGAATAAAATATATTAAACCAAGTCACCAGAACAGATGGCAACAGTCATCTATTTAACAGACACTGCAGCGTATACTGTATTTGTGACAGAGGTGTTTATCCTGTCTTACCAGAAATCTTCTAGCAGGTCACACAACTTTCTCATATATCACAAAACAATTCTTCCATCCTGTGCAAACACAGAAACTGCAGCTGACTATACCCCCAGTCACTCAAATTCACACACTGTCTACATGAGTGAGTTACATGAGAATGTGATTTATTATGTACACAAAAGGACCAGGGTGGTGATTGAAATGTTTTTTATCCAACCTTTGCAAAAAGAAAATTCTTCTTCAAATTAATTACTTAGCTGGGATTTCTTCAACTTACATTTCTTTCTTATTGATCCTTCAATTATTGGCACAAATATTTTAAATTATAACCAAACAAGCTTGCACTTCTGACCAAATCATTTCAGTACAGCCAGTAATTACTAATTTAATAGCCTGGAATACTGCTAGTCAAAGTGAACCTTTTTTAAAAAACTAGAAGAAAAGAGAAGGCCAAGACAACTTTATGATTCATCCCTTTTTTTTGGTCAACACATTTCAGAGATTTGGGATTGTTCATCCATGAGATTTCCTGTCCACTGTTGCCAGTGTTTTTCTGAAGGCAACATGGAGCCCTAACATAACCCTAATCTGCTCATGAAAACAAATTCAATGATTAGCTCCTTAAAACAGACAACTGCCAGAACATACTACTTGCCCTTCCCTTTCTTATCAACATATCCAGCTGCCAGGTCCCTCAATCAAACAGACTTTAATATAAAAGCACTGACAGCAGCAGCCAAACTAAAGAACCTAAGGTAATAGCTTAACAATAACAAGTAACATAGTTACAAGCACATATAAGCTCCAAAATGTTAACTGAGCATGCACACACACAGAGAAATGCAATCAATGCAATATCCATTTATAACACTCCTCCCTATGTAAAACAGGAAAATAAATTTAAAAAGCTTTCGTGTGCATGCACACTTCTTCAGATATCTGGTATCTTATAACCAGAACAAACTTAGTTGCTCTCTAAGGTGCTACTGGACATTAATTTTTTAAAATATATATATATATATATTTATTTCGACTGCGTCAGACCAACACGGCTACCTACCTGAATGTAAAACAGGAAATAAAAGGAAAATAGCCATTCCCAAGAGGGGACAACATAATGCGTGATTATTGTTTCAGCAGCCAACACACAAAGGAGAGCAGTTGTAGAAAAATAAAGGACAAATCACATTGGTCTAGAATGCATATCACATTAAACCATAGTTTAAACAGGCTGTAGTGCTACTGCGCACTGCTCAAAGTTCCTGTGGTGTTCTTCTCCTGCTCCTATTGCTCCACAGATAAAACAAGCCAGAGTCTGGCCTGTTATTTGAACCTAGGCTCATTGCTTGTTTCTTTCAAACCAACCATGAACAGAAATCAAGGTTTGTTCTTGGTTTAACCCTCGTGGCGTGGCTTGAGAAGAACAAACCACAAGCCCAGGTTTGAACAATATGACAAGCCAAATTTTGGCTTGTTTTGTTTGTTGCGCAGCAGGAAGATTGAAGGAGGACCACCTTAGGAACCTATGAGCAGCATATACCACCTCACTGCTCATTCACATTGAACCACAATCTATTTTTAATGTGATGTACGAAGTAGGCCACTGGAAGCAAACAGGAGCATTTCTATAACACCAACACATTTTGAACATGGTCATAACCACAAATGCATATTTTATTGATGATGAACTGTGGCCAGAACTGAACCGAGGAGAGCAATTAGCAGCAGCATTCTGCTGCAAGAAGCCAAACTTCCAACTAATCGTTCTTCTTCTCTTCCCTCAGTTACCTTTTATTACAAAACAAATTATTTCATTAGAGTGGTTTGCCATGCATCTGAGATTCAAGCTGATGGAAATGATGGAATGGGCTAAGACAGGCTTCCTCAACCTCGGCCCTCCAGATGTTTTAAGACTACAATTCCCATCATCCCTGGCCACTGGTCCTGCTAGCTAGGGGTCATGGGAGTTGTAGGCCAAAAACATCTGGAGGGCCGAGGGTGAGGAAGCCTGGGCTAAGATATTGTCAACCCAGAAACAATAACTTTAGGGGGTGCCTTTTTTTTGTAGATTTACCAAGGAGTTAGTTACCTGGGTACAACATTTGGAATGGTGGAGACGATGTATACTGCAAAGACAAGAGTAACTACATATGCTACTGCCCAATTAATTCATTTAACATGTTTACATTTCCATTTAACTTATCAGTGCTACATGAGCATATACTGGCTAGGTCGCACCAGCAGCTATTTTAAATGGGCTATAGGGCTGAATCATCTTGTGGTGTCCACAAAATTTAGCAATTATAGGATGGCACTTCTAAAAGGACATTATAAAATATTGTCAAATGAAAAATACGGAGAAATTAAAATGAGGACCATATTAACTTTCTAGAAAGATTACATGGATGATTCCTAAATGCTGTTTTTTAGAGGGAGCTTTCGGTGCCATGCCCAAACACAGTAATTATTATTGGATAAATATTTGCACTTCATTGTTTCTATTGCCAGTGCTGTAATAGGCAATTCAAAGCTTTTATTAACCTCTTAGGAATCAGTAGTATGGACACAATCCATAATTTTTTTCTACCAAGATCACAGCACATCAACTTTTAGGTTACAAAAAAAAAAAATCTCCCAAAGCAAAACAGAATGAACAGAATAACTTGCAAGGTTTTTATATTCATTATTCATGGACAAGCTGTTGATAGCAGTGTTTGCTATCAATGCAATCAATGCTGCATCATTATATGCATAGAGTAAGCCAAGTCAAGCTTAGGAGAGGAAATGTTGAAACCTTTTTCTACATATTCCACAGCAATCTAGACTATAAATGTGAAATTATACTAAAAGGATATCACATCCCAAGTCCATGCAGTACTTAGAAGAAAGCCTTGCTAACAAATCAAAAAGTATTTCAGATTCTTGGGCAAGAGCACCAATTTTCCAGCTCTGTGAAACCAGACCAAAAGCATAACATGCAATACAACATGGCAGAAATTTATCAGAACAACTAATGGTTAGAATGACCATCTTAAGGAAACCCAGGACCCTTAACTTATACACATGACGGAATAGCACCAATGTTACCCAACCATGTAGGATAGTTATTACAAATAGCAATAAAACTGTGCTGAACATAGTAGCACTGTTTACAACATGGAGCTGGGAGAAAATTACTAGTTTGTCCTTGACCACAGGCAAAGGAGCAGCAGATGTATCTTGTCACCTACTGGGTTTAGAGCTGGGTGACATCAGCTTTTCAACATCACGGTGTATCGCCAACCAAACATCGCAGTTTGGTGATATACCGTGATGTTGAAAAAACAAGATGCATTGGCTTCTACCCACGAGACACCAGGTGAAACTGGCCCAGCTTTCACCTTGAGAGCTGAGGCAGTTTCACCCAGGATCGCAGGCTAGGACAATGCAGATTGGTGCCGCTCAGCTGAGGGGAGGTCCCCCCCCCCAGCTGAGACAGCCCCAGTGCTCTCACCACTCATGTGCCTCATGTGCGAAGCATTGGGGCTCCTTTGAATGCCCGCTGTGGGGAGTGGCAAGCACACTCCCCTCAGCTGAGCAGTTTCAAAGAGCCCCCACCCCGCCTGCAGAAGCCAGTGCCGGGCTGGGGGCTCCTTTAACTGCTCGACTGAGGCAGGGGCAGTTGCACACTCCTCAGTTGAGCAGTTTAAAGATGCAGAGGGAGGAACAAACTGTATTGGTGCCTCACCGATACAGCTTGTTTCTCCCCCTCTATCGTATGAGGGCAGAGTGGGATGGCGGTTTCAGTGAGAGATATGGGAACTCTTGACTCCCTCCAGCAGGCGCTGCTAGCAGAGGGACTCAGGAGCAGAGGCGGTTTCACCAGCGATATACTGCTGAGTGAAACCGACATCACGGTCTGCTCCTCATACTGGTCCTGGGCAATATATCACCCAGGCCTAACTGGGTGGCAAATACACCCTTTCCCAATAGTTAATATACCAAAGACTTTTACAGACAAAGAGAAAGGGTTTGCCAAAGATATCCCCAGCTCATACATATATAGGGTGGGGGTGGGGAGGCAAATGACACATCTTAACAGCTATCACTATGACTGTGCCACCACTAAGTATATTTGGGTCCCTTCCTGCCCATTTCAAAACAGGGGAATAACAGGCAAAGGAAGATGTATCAAGGGGGTAGAATATATCTCAGCTCACTACTTACAGTGCAAAAAAAAGGGGGGGGCAGAAGAGCAAGAAGGGTGGAGATCCCTTATTCTCCCAAGTCACAAACCACCCACCTCTCTGCCATGATGCAGTTCAAGGCTGGGCCAGCTGGGAGCGCTTGTCATGCCAGACACTGCCGACGGCATCACGCTTCCCACCAGCGCCTGGACGAGGAAAGGGGGAGAAGGAAAGAGCCCCGGGGTCCAAAGGCAAGAAGATGTGTGTGCAGGAGGCGGAGGGAGGGGGTGTGAAAGGGGAATGTGAAAGTGAATGAAGGTGGGAAGGGGGGGAGGGAGGATCAGGAGCAGCGATGCGGGGGGGGGGGGGAGGAGGCCGGGACGTACCTTGTGCCCACCGGCAGAAGATGGTGTCGGCGAGGCCCTGCGTGCCGGGCTTCTTGCCCCACACCAGGTGGACGACCTCCTGCCCCAAGTCAGCCATGGCGGCGGCTCCCGGCGGCGGCGGAAAGGCGGCAGCGGCGGTACAGGCGACGGAGGGGCGGCGGCCAACCTGCGTTCGTTGAACATGGGCAGGAGGCGGAGGAAGCGGCGGCAAAGCGGACTCCTCACGAGGCAGCTGCCAGGCCTGAAGGGGAAGAAGCGGAGGATGCTGAGGAAGGGGGGCAGGGGGCAGACGGAGGCCGAGCGCCGCCCGTTGAGGCGCTTCTCTCTCGACAGAAGGCCGCGCCGCCTTCCCCCGGCTTCCCCTCAGACGCCGCGCCTGAGGAGGCCGCGCTTCCCCGCGAGGGGCCGCCTGGACTGACTCCCCCGTCGGCGTCGCGGCTGCTTATACTGACCGGCCTTTCTGCTCTTCCTTCCTCACTGCTGCGCGCGCGCCCGCCTGCCTCACCCGCTCCCTTCCTCAGGGCTCAGTAGTAATACTGAATGGTGGGGTTGGGCACTACGGGCAGCCCCCATTGGAGCAGCTCTTTGACAAGCAAGCACCCCGTCGAATGGGAGGCGTCGAAGCGGGGCTCACTTTGTCCCCCCGCCCATCCTGACTCGGGGAGTTAACAACACGGTCAGAAGCGGGGCGGGGAAGGGAAGGGATGCACACAAATACGCTCGGCCGTACGCCAATCAACAACAGGGCTGGCTGTGATTCGACTGAGCTGCGCGACAGGCATGTAGGCAGGCCAATCCAGGGCGGGCGGGCGGAGCCGGAGGAAGGGCGAGATGCTCATTCATAGGGTGGGTACAAAGAAGGGCTCGTTTCAAAGTGGGAGAGTCCCGCCCGGCTCTCGCTTCCTGGATGAATGCTCTGTGCGCGAGTGTCCAGGTAAAAATGGGAAGAGTCGGGTTGGATTCCTGTTTTTTTAGTTTTGGAGGTTTAAAAATATTGCATAATAGAATTTAGAAAAGGAGGATGAAGAGCATATTAAGTCAACACAACCCATAACATACCAATTACGAAACAAAACTAAAAAATTCCTTCCAGTAGCACCTTTGTTGTTGTTTAGTCGTTTAGTCGTGTCCGACTCTTCGTGACCCCATGGACCAGAGCACGCCAGGCACTCCTGTCTTCCACTGCCTCCCGCAGTTTGGCCAAACTCATGCTGGTAGCTTCAACAACACTGTCCAACCATCTTCTGCCATCGTCCCCTTCTCCTTGTGCCAACATCAGGGTCTTTTCCTTCTCCTTGTCCCAACATCAGGGTCTTTTCCAGGGAGTCTTCTCTTCAAATGAGGTGGCCAAAGTATTGGAGCCTCAGCTTCAGGATCTGTTCTTCCAGTGAGCACTCAGGGCTGATTTCCTTCAGAATGGATAGGTTTGATCTTCTTGCAGTCCATGGGACTCTCAAGAGTCTCCTCCAGCACCATAATTCAAAAGCATCAATTCTTCGGTGATCAGCCTTCTTTATGGTCCAGCTCTCACTTCCATACATCACTACTGGCACCTTAGAGACCAAGTAAGTTGTTATTGGTATGAGCTTTCGTGTGCATGCACGAAAAAAGCTCGTTCAGTGCATACACACGAAAGCTCGTACCAATAACAAACTTACTTGGTCTCTAAGGTGCTACTGGATGGATTTTTAAAATTTTGTTTCAACTACGGCCAACCAACACGGCTACCTACCTGTAACTATACCAATATCAATCCAATAATGTAAAGAAAGAAAAAGCAGTTGGTTACACAGGTTCAATGCCGGTGGATCAGCTTTGGGGCCAAGTTCCCCCCAGGAAGTGCTGAGCAAAGCACTTTTTGACAGGTGGGTGGTACATAATTCATACCCTCCAACATTTCTTAGGTGAAAATAGGGACATCCTATTTATCATCATCAAGAGCAATTTTTATTATTTATACCCCATCCATCTGACTGGGTTGCCCTGGCCACTTTGGGCTGCTTCCAACCTATATGAAAACATAATAAAACATTAAAAATTAAAAAGCTTCCCTATACAAGGCTGCCTTCAGATGTCTTCTAAAAGTTGCATACAGTCATACCTCAGGTTGCGAACGTGATCCATGCGGGAAGCACGTTCGCAACCCGCAGCGTTCACAGCTTAAAGCGCTGCGCATGCGCGTGACGCGATTCGGCACTTCTGTGCATGCGTGTGATGTCATTTTGTGTTTCTGTGCATACGTGAGTGCCGAAACCCATAAGTAACCCATTCCATTACTCGAAAACATGCAACCCGCAGCGTTCATAACCTGAGGTATGACTGTAGTTATTTAGCTCCTTGCCTCGGGGGTGGGGGTGGGTCGCATGATAGTCTAAATTGCTGTAAGTGAGCCATCAGGAGTCTCATTGTGCATTTCTCAGCATCTAATCCAGTTCAGCCCTAAGAATGAGGCCTTTCTTGAGCTTATGTAACATCCCTTTTTCTGCTTGATTGCCATTTGAGCACCGAAGTACTTGTAAGGGTATCACATGTGTGTGTGTGTTTGTAAAATAGTAGTGGAAAAGTGCCCGCAGTAGAAAACTGGGCTTGATGGAAAGAAAGAGGAATAGGAAACAATTTCCAGTGGGGTAACCATTTTCGTCTGCAGCAACAAAAACACAGTTTGTGGCCCTTTTAAAAGACTAGCAAATTTATAATGATATAAGCTGTTATGAACTGGAGCCCACTTCATCAGATACATGACATGTTATCCAAGGTACAGCAGTATACTTTTGACAGCAGAGGATTCTTAGCACTGAGGATGGAGGAAAATGAAAGGCATAATAATAATAATAATAATAATAATAATAATAATACAGATTCTGATGATTATATGAAAAATCAAGTCAATAGAGAGACCATTCACAAAGCAGCATTGAAGACAACACAAACATCCTGGTGTTGGCAACCTAATTAATACCTGCAGAGGTCGGGGTGGGGGCTGTTCTTTTATCTCAGTTCAGGTCACAAGTGAAAAAACTGAACTTCTTAAGAAGTATAATTCAGCAGTTCCACACTGGAATTTCTCTTCGGTCATCAATCGTTCAAGTGTGGCCACTGTAAGTTCAGTGGGCCATATTTTCCCATTTATTGATAACTCTCAAGATATAGATACTGCTGTTTCTTTTCTCAGCTGCCCTGAGGGGAATCATAGATAGGTATTATGAAAATTCACAAACTGTAGTGGACTACACACATGTAAATGGAGATGATGGAAAGTTCTACCAATACAATCCATTCTTTCCCTTTAAAAAAAAATCTGGCATGGAATTGGACAGGGGTAGGGAACCTCTGCCTGACTAGGCCTCCTCATTTGGCCCACAAGACTATTACCCCCACCTGCCCCACACCTGATGGCATATGTGGCATCAGGTGTGGTGCAGGTAGAAGTATACCTGATCCCTGCAAAAAAGCAGAATTAATCAGCTTGTGGCAAATACCTGCACTTCTGTGCAACCTGCCTGTGTTGTGGTAATGGATCAGACCCCATATTTGATACTCCTATTAATAATTTCCCTCAACCTAATGTAGCCCAGCTGAGCCTATTGCCTGGGGAATGAAGGCATCACGTTTTCTATGAGATTCCCTCATCATGAGAGGCAACACAGGCCAGATTCACACACTGATTTTCTGGTTCCCTCACCTCCTATCTTAAAACAGCATGACTTTATCTCCCTTGATAAACCATAAAACTTTTAAGCTTATTGTAAAGCCATAAAACCTTGAATGGACAACATCTATTGCAAGCAATAACCCACACTTACAACAAATCCATAAACTACATGTGTTTTAAAAATGCTAATTGCTTCCAATTAGGCAGGAAGGTTTGTTTTCACGGAGACAGCAAGCTGCCTCAGAATCTTTAACTGACAACTTTTAGCATGCCCAGTTGCACACCAGACATGTTTCCATGTCCAAAAGATTGAACGAATGTTATTCTAATAGTGGAATTTATTATTTTTCTTTTATGCATCCAGATATCCTGTGAAAAAACCATCCTGCTATAATTTACTGTAAGTTTGATTTCCACTTATAATTGTGGTAGTTAGCAATTAAGTTTAGGAATGGATTGTGGATTTATATTCTTCAAAGGAAAATTTAGTATAAATATTCCTTCTTTGGGGCAGCTCGCCAGTCTTCTCTTGGAATGACTCACAACTAGCAACCAGGTAATTATGGATTAAGAATGCATAATTCGATACAGTGTCCCCTTACTTGCCCCACTCCACCGCCACAATCTAAAAAGCCCCACAGGCTGTAACTTTTTCCCGTAGGGTAGTTGTTCCCCCCAATGATCATTCTGGTTGGCCTTTTCTGACAATATAGCTTCAAGAATGAGGACTGCTTGAGGTATGTGACAGTAGTAACAGTGTTTTCCGCTTAGTGCTTGGAACAGGGCCAACCTTACAACACCCTCCCGTGAGGCAAGATGAGGGGACTGCCTTGGGTGGCAGGATCCACAGAGGCAACAGATCCCAGTATAGATCTTTATTCCCCCCGTGTTCCTGATGTAGATCTTTGCTTACCCCTTTTCCCCTGATTGAGAGGGGGTGCCATTTTGTGTTTTGTGTCAGGTGCCAAAATGTCTCACGCCATCCCTAGCTTGCAACTAGCCAGTGTCCTTTTTAAAAGCCCTTTAATTTTCAAAGCAATACTGCTGATCTAACACCAGGTGTCAATGCTGCTCTTCCAAGTATCGGAGTTCCTATGTAGGACCTATTTCATGAATATTCTCTGCGCTTCCTCTGGCCTTTGATTTTGGTTTGGGTCCATTAGCTGCTGCTTTATATCAATCAATATCTTATATGGCTGGTGCATCAAATACTCTACTGCATCTGCTCACGGTAGCTCTTCACTGCAGTCTTGCAGAACCCGGATAAGATTTTAAAATCAAGATTAACTCCGAGTTAATTAAATTGAAGCCATGTGAAGGAGAAGTGTGTTTCTACCTAGAATGGCTTGTCCTTAAAATGATGGCTTCTGTTTTCTCAAGTTTTGCTTCCTTTTTTGAAAAAAAGGGACACAGTCTATAAATTGCTGGCATAGCTCACTAGACTTTGAGTAAGTCACTATCAGTGTAATCTATTTCAGAAGCTTACTACTGAATCACCACTGTGAGTTCCTTAGAGTTAGTGTTGGGGTAGCAGCTAGATTGTTGGACTAACACCTGAGATTGTTGTTGTTTAGTCGTTTAGTCGTGTCCGACTCTTTGTGACCCCATGGACCAGAGCACGCCAGGCATTCCTGTCTTCCACTGCCTCCCGCAGTTTGGTCAAACTCATGCTGGTAGCTTTGAGAATACTATCCAATCATCTCATCCTCTGTCGTCCCCTTCTCCTTGTGCCCTCAATCTTTCCCAGCATCAGGGTCTTTTCCAGGGAATCCTCTCTTCTCATGAGATGGCCAAAGTATTGGAGCCTCAGCTTCAGGATCTGTCCTTCCAGTGAGCACTCAGGGCTGATTTCCTTCAGAATGGATAGGTTTGATCTTCTTGCAGTCCATGGGACTCTCAAGAGTCTCCTCCAGCACCATAATTCAAAAGCATCAATTCTTCGGCGATCAGCCTTCTTTATGGTCCAGGTCTTATTTCCATACATCACTACTGGGAAAACCATAGCT